TGGACTTCCTGCCGGTGGGAGTGAGCCGGGCCAAGATCACGCCCCTGACCCTCAAGGAGGCCTATGTGCAGAAGCTGGTGAAAGTGTGCACGGAGCTGGACCGCTGGAGCCTTATCTCGCTGTCCAACAAGAGCGGTAAGAACGTGGAACTCAAATTCGTGGACTCCGTGAAGCGCCAGTTCGAATTCAGCATCGACTCCTTCCAGATCATCCTGGACTCACTGCTGCTCTTTGGCCAGTGCTCTTGCACACCAATGTCGGAGGACTTCCACCCTACTGTGACAGGCGAGAGCCTATATGGGGACTTTGCTGAGGCCTTGGAGCATCTGCAGCACCGAGTCATTGCCACCCGCAGCCCTGAGGAGATTCGCGGCGGCGGCCTCCTCAAGTACTGCCACCTCCTGGTGCGGGGCTTCCGACCAAGGCCCAGCACTGACGTTCGTGCCCTACAGCGATACATGTGTTCCCGTTTCTTCATCGACTTTCCGGACCCGGTGGAGCAGAGGCGCGTTCTGGAGCGCTACCTGGAGGCCCACTTTGGCGGAGCAGATGCAGCCCGCCGGTATGCTTGCCTTGTGACACTGCACCAGGTGGTCAACGAGAGCACAGTGTGCCTCATGAGCCACGAGCGCCGCCAGACCCTGGACCTTATCACCATGCTAGCCCTCCAGGCGCTAGCTGAGCAGGGCCCTGCTGCCGCCGCTGCCCTGGCCTGGAGACGTCCAGGCTCTGATGGAGTCGTACCAGCCACTGTTAATTACTATGTGACCCCCATGCAGCCCCTGCTGCCCCGGGCTCACTCCTATCCCACCTGGCTGCCTTGCAACTGACTGATCCTGGCTAGAAGGGAATGAGCTTCGTGGGGGTGGGGCAGGATCATCAGGTATGTGCGGAGGATGTGGCCAGACACCGGCCGCCTGTGCCAGCTGGCCTGGTACTAGAGGGTTGGGCTTTTGAACAGACCAGACTTTTCCTGCATGAGGTTCCTATGGGGCGAATCAGGTTCCTGATAGGAGGACCCTTTGGTCATCGCACCACACTCCTGGACCTGCATGACTTGGGTCACAGAGATCAACCTGTTGAAAAGACAAAGTCAGCTGGGGTGGCGGTCTCAGTACTGACACCTTGGGTGGATTTCCATGGCCTGGATGGGGTCAGCCCACAAGGACCCAGAAGTTCCTACACTGGCTACAAAACGACATCACGTGACAGGAATACTCACTTTGGGGTCTATATGAATGACTCACAGAGCCAGGTGGTCCAACCTTGCTGACCATTGAGAAGGTAAACCAAGGCATGAGGCAGCTCCCTGGGTTTCTGGAGGGATGGGAATTCAGGCTCCTGAAACCCATGTGGCCTTCTTGAGGTGCTAAGGTGTCCAGTGGACAGGTAAACAGCCACGACGGGATGCCTCCCAGTATGCCACCCTCTCCCTTCCCTTGTGTCTCCCAGGAGCCCTGCTGTCTGGGCACTAATGCTGGGGGCTGCCTGGTTCAAAGCTGCTGCAGTCAGCGACTCCCACCCCACGGCTCGGTTATGGGATTTTCACGTGGCGGGTGGGCGGGAGGCATACCCCATCTCTTTTTCCCATTCCTCTGAGCTTGCCACTGTGGTGCACTCTTCCCACCAATAAAAGTGTCTACACCTGGCATAACCGTATGCTTTCTCCTGGGGTAAGGATCTCTATGGCACAGGTTAGCCCTACCTCCCCAGGCTGTTTGACTTGTGAGGTGGGAGGAGGAGCCAAGGAGCAGCTGTTGCGAGTCCCTCCTGTCCAAAGCTTAACAGCTGTGAACTGGGAGTCTGGCTGGTCTCCGTGTTGGCTCAGCAAGTCTAGGCCTCTCGTGTTAAAGGGGTATATGCCCCGGAATCCTAGAGGCCCGAACCTGGCCTTTGGTGAGCATGTCTGTCCACTCTGTCTGCCCAGGAAGCAAGCAGGGTGAATCTGAACTGGAATGAAAGCTGAGGCTAGGTGACTTGCAGGGATCCCCCAGAGTCCAGGTACGGTCTTCCAAGCAAGTGGACACGGGCATGCTCTACCTTATTGTAAACAGGTCCTCTAGAGAGTGGCTGGGTCTCTCTGAACCCAGCTGGGGCCAGCCAAGTGGTCCAGCAGTGCCAGCTTTTGGGGAGCTATTCCCTCAGGGCATCGGTCACTCACTTCTGGACGCTGCCTGCTGTTTACCCCGCCTCTTTGATCTGGAGATCGCAAAGCTTTTAACATATTCAGCCTCATTAGGCCCCTCTGAAGTGGTGACTTTGATGGTTCCAGTCAGGTGGAAAAGAATAAAGCAGCAAAGGAGGCCCCAGGGGGTCATCAGAGGGAGTGCTCACCTGTGCTGTGGGTTTGGCTAGGTGCCTCAGTTCCTTCTGCTCCTGGCTCTAAATGGCTGGAAAGGCAATTGAAAAGGATCTCCCAGGCCTGACTGTGCTGGCACACACCTTTAATCCCAGCACCCTGGAGGCAGAGGTAGGCAGACCTCTGAGTTTGGGGCCAGCCTGATCTACAGAGTGAGTTCCAAGACAGGCTCCAAAAGCTACACAGAGAAAGTTTTGAAAAAGAAAAAAACGGGGGGAGGGGGGCTCTCCTCTCCCACCCACCTGTGGCCACCTCATTAAGGTGCTCAGAGAGACAAAGCTTCTCCTACCTCCTGATTTGGCCATGTGAGCCTAAACCTGAGCTGGGAACATTGTAAACACAGCAGGCTCAATGGCTTGGGATGCGGGTTCACCTGGATTTGCTTGGTTCAGATGAGAAACCCAGTTCTTTCTTCGTGTGTATGCACCGAGCTCAACCATACGCCTGTTATGGTTCTGGGTTTAGGATCCCTACCCTTGTGACAGTTATACCCTAATAAGGTAAACAGTGTGATCTTAGAAGGTCAGCAATGCAGAAAAATGTATGTAGCAAGGAACTTAAATCGACACAAGGTGCCCCTCATGGAAGATGGTATTGGATTGAACAAAGCCTGATAGGTTCTGGGAAGTGAGCCATGTAGCTGTCTAGAGAAAGTGTTCTGGGCCAAGGGAGCTTGTCTGTGAATGCACACGTGCCCTGGCAGGCATGTCTGAAGGAGGGCACGTGTGCCTAAGGATGTCTGGCCGGTCCTGTGTGGGTGTGGGTACTCTCTGGAGCCGGCACGCACATGTGCGTGGATGTGACGAGGTGGGGGGAGTGGCAGACGTTCACGGCAACAGCTGTGGAGCGTGATTTATTCTAGGCCCAATGCCATGCTTAGGTCCGTCCAAGCACTGGAGTCGCATCCTTACAACAACTCCAGAGAACAGTGTTCTTTCCATCTTAGAGACAAAAACGCGGGCCGAAGCGGTGGAAGAGGTTTGCCGGACTCCAGACGTTGCATCCGCCCTTGCACTGTAGTTCCACACGAATGACGGTGACAAGCCTGTCTCCTGTGCACTTGTGGCAAGGCTCGGGCTATTTTCTGTATGACTGGCAGAGTGTAGCAGAGTGCCAAGACATACATTTTCTTGATGTATCTGTGCCAGTAGTCATGGCTTGGGGTGACTGTCTGGGACCTGTTGTGGCAACAGCACACCTGAGAGCTATGGGTGTGGTACATTGTTTCCGGGTGTGAGAAAAACACTCTGTACCTGACGTTGTCCTTGTGGATTATCCCCGTGGCTACCTAGGAATGCCAGGATGTGCAGGCTGCAGGAATTCGGAATCCGGACAGCCGAGGGGAGAGAGTCCTGTCCTTCAACTTCTAACCGCTGTACCAATAACAACCCACCCACCCCTTCCTACCAGTTGTAAGTCAGGGGGCCAGAGCCACAGTGGGCACCCCTGGGCAGGTACATGGTATGCCGGCCCCTCCTGATCCACTATCCACCCATCTGCTCAGGGCCCTGGGGAGGCTGTTGGGTGGCATCAATGGCTCCCTTGTTCCCCAGTTTCCTGCTGCTCTTGACACTGAGGCCCCAGCAGGAGGAGCCTGAAAGGAGAGGGTGTTTACTCTTCTCCCTCCCTCCCAGGCTGTCATGGTTCACAGCCCTCGCGCAATGGCAGCAGGCCTTTAACACTTGCCTCCCAATGTGAGTTATTCTCATGAGCTCTCTCTGGAACCCAGGGCCTTCCACATTCTAGGCAAACACCTTATTACTGAAGTTACAGCTCTAGTTTTTTGTTTTCTTGATTTTTTCTTTTCTTTTCTTTTTTTTTGAAGACGGAGTATTCCTGTGTCCTGTGTAGCCCGGGCTAGCCTTAAATTCTCCCGTCTTCCTGCCTCCGTCCCCTGAGTGCCGGGATTACAGTGTCACCAGTTCTGGCTTCCCTTTATTAGTTTCTTAGATACATCCCACACCTACGTTTGTTTTTGGAGACAGGGTTTCTCTGTGTATCTCTGACTGTCCTGGAACTCTTTCTGTAGACCAGGCTGGCCTCGAACTCGCAGAGATCCACCTGCCTCTGCCTCCCTGAGTGCTGGGATTAAAGGCGTGCACCACCGCTGCCCGGCTCCCATACCTTTTCTAAAGTCCCCTTTAAAAGACTCTCCCCAGGCTGGAGAGATGGCTCAGTGGTTAAGAGCATTGCCTGTTCTTCCAAAGGTCCTGAGTTCAATTCCCAGCAACCACATGGTGGCTCACAACCATCTGTAATGAGGTCTGGTGCTCTCTTCTGGCCTGCAGGCATACACACAGATAGACCATTGTATACATAACAAATAAATAAATAAATATTAAATAAATAAATAAAAGACTCTCCCCAGTTTAAATGCACCTGTCTCCTGAGACCCCAAGGGACAGTCACCCACAACACTACACCACAAGCGCTGACATCCAGCCTGCTCGTGTCCCTCGGTCTCATGTATTTCTTTCTGGGCTTCCTTGTCATACCGCTGTTAACCAAGGGTCAGCTCTGAGCCAAATCAAGGGAAAACCGCTCTGTAAGCCAGTCCCTAGGTCCAGACTGCCAAACCAAACAGAAGCTGTCACCCACCAGACAGAAGGCGCAGGGACACTGCAACGTGAGCCACAACACCTCGCATTACTGAGTTTTATTCTTCCCGTGTGTATATAGTTGGGGACCGAGTCGATATACAGAAGCCTCTAAGTTCCGGGCGGTGTGTGAGTACATGTGCCTCCTTCCCTTGTCGTAAAGAAATGGATTTCCCCTGTGCATCGAACTTGGCTCGGAAGTTTGATGTTGCCACCCCCTCATCCTAAGAAAGAGGTGTCCCCCTAGGAGGCAGCAGCTGATTGTCTGCAAGGAGCCACAGGGATGTCCTCACTCACATGGGGAGGACAAGGACAGTGGCTGAAGGAAAATAGGCGTTTTCTACACCAGTGATTTGCCTCAAATAGTAGAAGTGACAGTAGGGACTCCAGCTACACTGTGACCTGCAGTGATGGGGGCTCCAGCTACACTGTGACCTGCAGTGACGGGGGCTCCAGCTACACTGTGACCTGCGGTGACGGGGGCTCCAGCTACACTGTGACCTGCGGTGACGGGGGGCTCCAGCTACACTGTGACCTGCGGTGACGGGGGCTCCAGCTACACTGTGACCTGCGGTGACGGGGGCTCCAGCTACACTGTGACCTGCGGTGACGGGGGCTCCAGCTACACTGTGACCTGCGGTGACGGGGGCTCCAGCTACACTGTGACCTGCGGTGACGGGGGCTCCAGCTACACTGTGACCTGCGGTTTAAGAATGAGGAGTCTATCTTTAAAGGAAACCCTTCTCGTGGTCACACTGGCCATGTTTGCTGCATTCTGCTAATTGACAGCATCTCAGGTCCCTGCATAAGCAAAGTTAAACGCAGTGTATGGAAAGCAACAATTCAGAGTATAGCAAGTTCCCAGGCCCCAGTCCCTTGCCACTGGAAGGGCTCCTGGGAGGAGGGTGCTGAGACTGGGTACAGTCAATCCTGGAAGTCTTCCTGAGGGCGGTGTCCAGAGGAGTGGAATGCAGAAGTCCAGACCCATAAAGTGGAGGCTCCAAGGAGCTGGAAGAACAATGCCAAGAGCCTTAATTACCTTTTCTAGAAGCTGTCCCACCCCACCCGAAACCTTCCACAGATGCTTCCTTGAGGACTGTCATAGGGAGGTAGGGCAAGAGGGTTTGCTATGGAAAGGGGCTCGGAGAAGCAGAGGTTCCCTCGGATCTTGGTCCTTGGCTGGGATCCCCATGAGGCTGAGCAGCTGGAATGGAATGTTCCTGGAATGAAGAGCCCGCCCCTCCCCCACGCCTCTCCTTCCTGAGCTCCCCAGGGCTGTTCCAGAGATTCCCAATATGGTGATGCTCTAGAGCCATGGCTCTCAACCTTCCTACCCCCCCCCCACCGGCGGCACCCTTTAAATCAGGTCCTCACGTTGTGGTGACCCCCGGCCATAAAACTATTGTCATTGCTACTTCATGACTATAACTTTGCTACTGTTATGATTGTCTCTGTGTTTTCCGATGGTCTTAGGCAATCCCTATGGGAGTGGAGACCCATAGGTTGAGAACCCCTGCCCTAGAGCCACCAAGGCTTGCGTTGTTCCTCTGGTGGAACAACCCATCTTTATCCACCTTTTGCATTGTCTCCTGCCCTAGGCAGAGTGGTTCCACCATCACAGAGCCCCACTATGAGGCACTCAGTAGGACTTCTTGCACCCAGATGTTAACCCTTCGCTAGTGTTTCTCGAGCTGGGAAGATAGCTTGGAGGTTAAGAGTATGTCCTGCTCTTGTATAGGTCTCAAGTTCAGCTCCCAGCACCCACACCAAACAGCTTACAAATGCCTGTAACTTCAGTTCCAGGGGGTCCCACACTGTGTCCTCCAAGGGCACCTGCACACACACATAATTTTTTGTTGTTTGTTTTTTTTTTTTTTTTTTGTTTTGTTTTTTCGAAATGGTTTCTCTGTAGCTTTGGAGCCTGTCCTGGAACTAGCTCTTGTAGACCAGGCTGGCCTCGAACTCAAAAAGATCCTCCTGCCTCTGCCTCCGGAGTGCTGGGATTAATGACATGTGCCACCACCACCTGGTTCACATACATATAATTTAAAATAAAAATCTTAAAAAAGGGAAAATATTTAGAGGCAGGAGTACTCATGCACACCTTTAACCCTGGCACTCAGGAGGCAGAGGCAGGTGATTCTCTGAGTTGAAGGTCAGCCTGGTCTATAGTGCAACTTCTAAGGCTGCACAGAGAAATTCTGTATCAAAAACCAAAACAAAAAATTAAAAACGGAAAGTCATTGCACCAAGCTGAGACAGTTCAGTTCACCCCAAGACCAGATTTCAGGTTTCTTTTGTTCTATTTTGAGCCCTTGTACCTGCCATAGAACATGTTCTCCTCTCCTGCTACCCAGGCTTTTTGCTCCCTTGGCACCGAACATCCCTGCCCCGAGCTTCAGGGAGGGGAGACAGCTGGAACAAGCCTTAGCTGTGCTGTGCATCCAGTCCTGAACATCTTTGGCCCACCCTTGCCATAAGCCAGGTATGTTGAGTCAGCTTGACTCACCTCTAGAACCCAGACAACCAGCAAGGGTGTGGCCAGTCCTGGGGGGCAGGGTGCAAGACACACTTGGCCGCCCCTGCAGCATCTCATACCTCCCTCCCAGGACTGGACCCACTAAAAACAAGAACTCAGAAATCCCCCCAAAATGGTGCTGTCGTTAGCCCACTGAGCTTTGAGGAGACTATCTGCACACCTCAGTCCTCTGCCTCATGGCGATGGGGCTAAGAGCCTTGCATGTTGAGTGTTTGAGAGAATGTGAACCATAGGTGCTTAGTGTGGTGCCCAGTGTGAAGGAAGTGGTCCATTTATTCCAGAACTAAGTGTTCTCGTCTCTCATCACTCTGGGCAGGGTGTAGTCAAGGAATAATGGGAGAAGAAACAGGCTGGGAATTTCCCAGCTTTCCTAAATACCTCCTCCCGGCCTAGACTCTCCAACTCGGAGATGCCAGGGCACCTGAGTGCTTGGTTCTCAAGGAATCAAGCTGTCATCACAAGACACTGCCCACTGCAGGTCTGGAACACCTTCGTCTGGACCTGTCACTTCAGCCTAATGTCTAGGAACCACATTGGTCATTAGGTGGTGGCGGAACCAAGTGATGTCATCAGCGGAACAAATAGGTATATTACAGAACTGACTCGGGTGCGGGCAGTCAACAGTGGAAGCCTCTTCCCAAGAAGTCTTTCCTACTGGAATCTCTCCTTGAAGGCAGGGTCCCCTCTGTCCCTTTTCTCGAGTTGTGCTCCCAGGGGTGATGGATGCAGAGCAGAACCCCAGCCTACTCATGCTAGAAGCCATCACTAGAACCACTCCGTCAGTAATGGGTCTCGGGAACAGCCACCACCGCTTATTACGCTGACCCTTACAGCTCAAAGCCAGCAAGCCCAGGACCACGGAGGAGATGGTGGAGGACTGGGCCACCTGAAACAGAACGCGCCCCAGGCCACGCCCCCAACTCTCACTAAGCAGCTCCACACTGCCCTCTGGTGGCAATGCTAAGTAAGTTAACTGCTGGGACCAGCCTAAAAGCAAAGGGGCTTGTGCTTCTGTTTACTGAGCACCCAGATTCACTGGTTGACATAGTGTCCTCATTGCACAGATCCCCAGGGTCCCTGAACTCGCCCAGTCTGTAGACTAGGGGCCATCAAGAAAGTATTCATCCAGAGCTACACAGTGAGACCCTGTCTCAAAAGCAAACGAAAGTGTTCAGGAAGTCATGTGGGAAGAGTGCTTCTGATCAGGGGTAGAGTAATATAAGCCATAGAAACCAAACTTCCAGAGGCTGGGGATGTAGCTCAGTTAGTGAGTGCCTGCCCAGCATGGACCAGACCCTGGGTCCAACACCAGACCCATAAACACAGCATGGTGGGGTATGCACTAAAACCCATTTGGGGAGGTGGAGGCAAGAGACCAGAAGTTCACAGTTGGGACCAGACAGGTAGTTCAGTAGGTAAAGATGCCTCTGCTGGGCCTGACCACCTGAGCTCAACCTCTGGGACCCACTTGGTGGAAGAGAGAATGGATTCCTGCAAGTTTTCCTCTGACCTCCACGCAGGGCTCCGGTACATGCATGCCCCTCACCCACCCACAAATAAGGCATGTTTTGAAGGGAAAAAAAAGTTCAAAATCATCCTGAGATATTTATGGAGGTTATGGCAAACGGTCTCAAAAACAAAATCAGAAAATAACCTGGGTTCCAGTTAGGTCTCCTGGGACGGTGACATCCAGGAAGGCTGCCTGGAAGAGGTCCAAAGAGCAAACCCTTCACGGTGGAGGCCGTCTGGTACGTGTTCCTCCTGAAACCCAGGGAGTAAATGGAAACCCGGGTCTGCTGGGTGAGGAGAGCCTGGAGCCGGACCTGGGGACTCTACACAGGGTGCTACGAGGCTCAGACAGGGCGAGAAGGTGACTTTCACTTGGTTGAAAGATGCACACAGACTAACTGTATAACCTGAGGTTCGAGTCAGTGAGTTCTGTGGTTCGCCTTGGCCCAGACTTCTTTTGTTGGGTGGGGGAAGGAAGTGGAGGGAGGTACCATCGCTGCCTATCCCCCCACGTGCCCACCCACTCTTCTCCAGCAAGTGTCATCTCTCTGTATCCACCCACCCCACCTCTAAATCAGGTCAAAGCTGATTACAGCGAACCCCAGAGACGGTCCTAACTGATGGCAGGGAGCACTCTACAGCGAACCCCAGAGACGGTCCTAACTGACAGCAGGGAGCACTCTATGCCATTAGCTGAAAGCAGCCGCGGAGCCACTGCCATCCTGCAGACCAGCAATCAGGTGGTCCTGGCAGAAGCCCAGCGCTGCAGCCAGCAATGTCACCTCCAAGAAGTCCTGTGCTCTCTGGGCCTCAGCACCCCGGATAAACTGAGAGGGCTCAGTAAGTCCACGTCAGTAAGGACACGTCAGAGTCCCCACGACACTGGTCCCAGAGCTTTCTCAGAAGCTCTGAGCGGTCCAGCTAAGGGGGCTTCATGAAGGCCTTCTGAGAACCCAGCCGCTAAGTCTGTTATGTGTGGAGAGAAAGGCCTGATGGGGGTAGGGTCAGCAGAGGACTCCTGCCCATGGCAATCTACTTGACTCCATTACTGATGGGACTCTGACATCTTCCTCTTCCTCCTGCACTCCCTTCTCAGGTCTGACAGGAGGGACAACCATATTCAGAGAAGTTGTGACTCGGAGAGGGGACAGTATTGTTCTAGGTCACTGTAGACAGGGTCCAGAGGTCAGCTCTCCCTAGCTGGAACACAATGAAAAGGGCACACACAGCCTAGGATCAGGTTTCTCTCTCTCTCTCTCTCTCTCTCTCTCTCTTTCTCTCTCTCTCATGTGACCTTGAGAAATCCCTTTTCCATTTTATAAAATGAGGACTTTAAATTAGCTCCTGGTTCCTGAGACACAAGGCAGCACCGGTCTCTAGGTGTGATTTAAATGAGCAAAATGTCCACAGCTTACAGTGAGAAAAAAAAATCCTACACCCTATTTTGGCTTCCCCCGCGGCCCTCCGGAGAGGCAGATATACCCTCTTTACCACTAACGAGTGGGCTGTCATCAATCAGATGCAGGAAGCGAGCCAGGGGCCAGGCCACTGAGTGCAGACAGAGGAATGGGGGCCTGAAGGGCATGTTGTCAGGAAGAAGCAGGTGGCATTTCCAGTCTGGCCCTTTAAGGCCCGCCTTTCTGGAAGCTGATGCCATGCCTGCCCCCTTGGGGCTGTTAAAGAGTCACCTGGCTCTGTCCCTGGCAGAGCCATCTTTAAGATACATTGGGGAGGGCTGCTGGTTGAGCAGGTGATAAACCTCCCATTCTGGTCATCTCCATCAGTCTACAAACACAGGTAACAAAATTATTAGGAATAAAGCTGTCTCCTAGAAGCGGCCTAACTAAACTCGCTGGTGGCAAATCTTCAACTTCTATGGGATTCTGTCTCCTCCAATGGGAAAGGGGCTCCGAGGAGGACAATCCCATCATACAGCCCCAAGGCAGCGCTCCTTCCATCCTGGGGTCTTACTCTTCCCTCCCATCCCCGAGAGATGGAGCCCTGCTGTGTAGAAACCAGCAGCTTCAAGGGCAGGACTTTACTTATAGTCCCAGGGGACCCAGGAGAGACCACACAAGCGCAGGTGAAGGTGGCAGATGCTACAGTATCGCAGTAGGCTCCAGCTGGCTAAAGTTTGCCACCAAATCCTTCCTGAAGCCCAACACCCTCCACTAGTTCAGCTCTGTAAGGGAACAAGAGCGCTGTCACTTAACCCAACAAGAGAGAAGCCACGAAAAAAACGGACAGCTCCCTTAGGGCCTCACAGATGCCAGGCACCCCAGAGATGAGAGATCACGACTACTGCACACCTCGACACAGACACACTGTACCCCAGAAAGCACCAGTTAACAACACCTCACCTTAGTCTCATTTTCAGGGCCCCCGGGCCCCCGCCTGTCTCCTCCGCAGAGATGACGCCGTCCATCTAGCCAGCACTCGGACCCGTCCGTCCGTCTGTCCTTCCGCCTGTCTCCGGAGCCCAGGGGTCGCGGGTTCTGAGGTCAGCGCTGCGGGGAGGCGGGGCCGCGGGGCGGGCTGCGGCGGAAGGGCGAGTCGGGCTCGGGGCAGTGGCCGCGCCGCAGCCGCCCGGCACCCCAGGGTACGCAGCTCCCCAGGCCCAGCGCCGAGGCCAGCAGCGCGGGAGGACGACCCCGGCGGCCGCGGCGCGCACCCTTCTTGAGACGCGACCCGTGCGCCGCCAGGTAGAGCTCGGCCTGGGCCACGCCGCCGCTCAGGCGACTCAGGCTCTCGGCGCGGTGCGCCAGGCGCAGCTCGGCAGCCAAGAAGACTCGGTGCAGCTGCAGCACCCGGCTCTCCAGCTCCGACACCAGGCGCCGGTGGCCCTCCACTTCCAGCAGTCGCCGCCGCGCTTCGGCCAGCTCCAGAGCGCGGCCCCCCGCCCCTGCCGCCGCACCCGCACCCCCGCCCGAGCCTCCCGCCGGGCCCGCGCCCTCCGGACCCCCACTAGCACCCTGGCGCCAGCGCTGCAGCTCCTGCCCCTCTGCGGGTGTCTCCGCCGCCTCGCGCAAGGGCGGTGACTGAGTGGGTGTCGGGGTCGAGGTCGGCGATGGAGGCGGGGGCTGGAGGGACGGCAGGGGCTCCCGGGGTGGCGGCGGGGGGGACCCCGGTTCTGCCGTCCCTTCCTGGGCCCCTGGGCCACAGGCGCTGATGCGGCAGCCCGGCATCCCCCGCCCCGCGGCGGTCCCCGGCTGTCAGTACGGTGGGGAGGAGAGATGCTGGGCACGAGAGAAGGGAGAGGCGGCCGCAGAACCCACACCCAGGCCGCACGCGCCGCCCCGCAACTTATAGCACATGGGGCGGAGCTATGGGCCGCACAGCCAATCCGAGACTTGCGGGTTCTCAATCGGCCCTGCCCTCTACCTAGAAGCGCGTCGGCAAGCGCCTCAGGTTCCCGGTCCTTCTCCCGGGTTGGCCCTATTTGGGGATCACCCCAAATTTTGGGTGGATAAGTAGCGGTCACTTTCCTGGCCTGGACTCTCACAGCGGTAAACTTCGAAGGGATGCTTAAAAGTCATACATTTCAGTCTCCACCCAGAGAAGGATTTGGATTGAGCGTCACCCCTGCCCCCCTTCCCCGCGCTCACGACCGTGAGAGCCTGGCCTAGAACTCAGCGCTCAGGATCTCCTGGGCCACAAGGCTCGCTAGGACGCCCTCCTCCATCATTCTGGGGTTGTGCGGTGATTAAGGCAAAGGGACGACTGACGTCCACAGAAGGATGGACATATGATTGGATTGGTTGCACACCAGGAAGGCACTTTGCTTGCAAAACAAACCCCACAGCCGCTGCTGCTGGGTCCGCCAACCTTCGTGGGGCCCTTAGAGAATCCCAAGGTGTGCAAAATTATTTTCCAGCTCCACGCCTGCCTGTGTGGGCACCTGCCTGCACACGATTCCTCCCCCGTACCATTTACGTGGAGGGGGAGACTTTGAAGAAGTCGCGTGCTCTGTGCTCAAGGTCACATTGCGGGATAGTGACTGAGTCTGGACGGAAATGAATAAGCTCAACCATTCGTCGGAGCCCTTTGAGATACTTGGATTCCTCTACTCCCCCAGGCGCTCGGCCCTGTATCTCGGATTTTAATCATTCTGGCTCTACCCAATTTCTCCCCCCCCCCCCCCCGCAGCTGAAGTAGACTTGCTGTTCCCCATTGGCCCGGACCCCGGTGGCCCTGCCTCCGATTGTAGCTGTTTGAAGGTGCCATCAAAGTCCGGGGTGGGAGGGGGCAAAGTCCGGAGGGCTGGAAAGCAGCTCTGAACCCCATTAGGAAGGACTACAGCGGGTCCCCGGGTTTCAGAGGGCCTGCCAAAGGTGTGGCCAGCGCCCCAAATCTCAAAGACTCTGAAGAGAAGACTGGTTTGAGGAGGAGGAAAGCCTTGGTCCCTCCCTTCTCCTGACCTTCTCTAAGTGCTTACGGGCGCCTTTTGATTGAGTTACCGCGGACTGTAGGCATGACAACAAGTCTCCAGAGAGGCAGCTCCTGGAGCGAGGGAGGAAGGGAGAGAGCGTGAGGGAGTTAGATTCAGAGAAGAGAGAAGACTCACAGATAGAAAAGGGGTGTTGAGTTAACAGGAGTAGCTCTCAGAGGAGACACACCGGGGAGATGACTCCGCGAGAGGAAGAGGAGAGGCCATTTAGCTCACTGAGCTCGGTCCAGTAACAGGATCCAGGGCTTCGGGTTAACAGGTACCTAGGTATAGAGACGCGGGGGGGGGGGGGGGGGAGCGGGGGGGGGGGGTGACATGGCACGGTGGGGAAAGTGAAGCCCAGGGAATGGGAACTCAGAGAGTCAGAGGGGTTCAATGAGATTGAGTAAGGGATCCTAAATATGGGTCTGTTTTTGAGAACAGCTTTGGGTCTCTCAATGCAAAAGCAATCCATCCAGAGAAACTTGGCTGATGTTTTCTGCATCAGCTGCCAACTCTCAGATGAATGGAGGTGAGGAACAACAGACAGGCCCTTATCCTGCACCCTCCCCCCCCAAGTCTCAGCATCCCTCCCATTCCTTCAAGGTGGCACAAGCCGGTAATTTCACCATTTCCAAAGTAGAGGCTGGAGGATCAAGAGTTCAAGGCCAACCTGAGCTACATGAAACCCTTACTAAAAAGAGAAAGGCCAAGGATGGCAGCTCATGCCCCTCTTCCAAGTACTTGGCAGGCAGAGGTAAAAGGATCTCTGCAAGTTCAAGGACAGCCTGGTCTACACGGTGAACTCCAGGGCAATCAGAACAAATCAGAGAAACCCTGTCTCAAACAAACAATGAAGATGGAGAGTCAGGATGGTACCATAAGGGTGGGGCTGCCTAAGGAATATAGTATTAAGGAATTATTATCTAAAGTTTCATATAATACATATAAGCCTATGTGTATATACATGCATACATACACAGTTTTTTTTAAATGATCCACTTCTTTTCTTAATTTTTTTAATATTTATTTATTATGTATACAATATTCTGTCTGTATGCCTGAAGGCCAGAAGAGGGCGCCAGACCTCTTTACAGATGGTTGTGAGCCACCATGTGGTTGCTGGGAATTGAACTCAGGACCTTTGGAAGAGCAGGCAATGCTCTTAACCACTGAGCCATCTCTCCAGCCCATACATACACAGTTTATATTAAAATTTCCCACCTGGTCTGACAATGCTATCCCCAAGAGTCATAGACTAAATCCCCAAAACTGAGCTTGGGAAGCCATCTTTGGAGTTGCTAGTCAAGGTAGCCCAAGAGGCTTCTAAAACATTGTAGGCTATGGCCATTGCCCTTGGTTGCTTCCCAGAGGCTGAAGGTAAGTCACGATTGCTGAAGGCGCTATGTACTTTGAACACAGGCCCCACATATCCAAGCTAAACCTGACCCGAAATCCTCCTCCCTGAGACTAGCTTTTACGGCACCAGAAGGTCCCATGCAAGCTTCCAAGAGAGGGAAGCAGCCAACCGAGCTACCCAGCTGTGATGCCCATGAACCATTTACACTAAAGGTGCAGGGGTGGCCCCCAGATCTCCATGGTAACCAGTAGCTTTATAATTGGACTTAAGGCTCCGTTCGGCAAGAGGGAAATCATGCCTGCTGCTGGAAATGTAGCCAACCACCTCAGGCTATTAGATCATAGATCTTGGAGGAGAATCTACAGCTGCCATTTTACCAAAGCAGCACAATTTCTGTGTTCTAAATCTGTATCCTTATAGCCATAGGCAAGTGCAGCTCTCCCTCCTTGTCGAAGAAACTTTGCCTTTGCAACAGGCAGAGACCATTATAGACAACCACACTGATCCAAATGCGAGTACGAGCGATCATGCGGTGCCCAGCCCCAGTGATCCGATGCGGTGCCCAACCCTCAGTGATCCTACGCGGTGCCCAGCCCCAGTGATCCGATGCGGTGCCCAGACCCCAGTGATCCGATGTGGTGCCCAGCACCAGTGATCCGATGCGGTGCCCAGACCCCAGTGATCCGATGCGGTGCCCAGCCCCCAGTGATCCGATGCGGTGCCCAGCCCCCAGTGATCCGATGTGATGCCCAGCACCAGTGATCCGATGTGGTGCCCAGCACCAGTGATCCGATGTGGTGCCCAGACCCCAGTGATCCGACGCGGTGCCCAGCCCCAGTGATCCGATGCGGTGCCCAGCACCAGTGATCCGATGCGGTGCCCAGACCCCAGTGATCCGATGTGGTGCCCAGCACCAGTGATCTGTCTACAACACAACTCCTCTATACCTAAGGAGAAAATCTCCCCAATCATTCATCCAATGCTAAGTGGTCAGCCCTGAATCATATACATACAAGCACCATCACCATTATACAAACTGAGTAGGCTGTGGTTATACTTTTAGGAATATATGTATATGTGTATTATAAATACATATTCTCTCTCTCTCTCTCTCTCTCTCCTCTCTCTCTTTCTCTTTCTCTCTTTGCTTTTGGATTTGGTTCCTGTTCCCCCTTCATGCAGAGAATGTGATCTGTGAGTCCACCCCTGAATAAAGAACCCTTTATTATACTAAAAAACCCAAATATACATTTATAATTTAATATAATATATAAATGTAATACACACACACAATTCAAGAAAAAGAGGCCATGAATTTAAGAGAGAGCAAAGGGGATTCATGGGAGGTATCAAAGGGAAGGAGAGAAATGATGTTATTGCGAGTATCAGACTGTCAAGAACCTGCCTCAGGGCTGCTGGGATGGCTCCCCAGATAGAGACACCTATTTCCCAGCCTGACTGTGTGAGTTTGATCCCTGGGAGTGATATGATGGAAGAAGAGAACTTTCTCACAAAGTTGTCCCCTGACCTCCACATGTATGCAGTGACACACAGATATAGGCACACAAAAGAAACAAAAATAAAATAAAAATGTAACTTCTTTTTAAGAAAAAAAGAAGGACTGTTATTTGCTGAACAAAACTGAACCCCACCATTGGTCAGATCCAGAGAACCTCTCAGATCTGGGTTCAAAACCTCCACACACTTTCTTCCAGAGACCTTGGGCATTGGTCTCTCTGGGAGGGAGAAGATGGTCAAAGCAAATCTACTAGGAGCCGGAAGCGTGACTCAGCAGTCAAGCTGGGTTCAATCCCCAGCACCGTGTAAAATAAAAACAACAGGCAGCTATGATGGCTCCTGCCTGTTGTCCAGCACGTGAGAGATCGTCAAGAGGATGAGAAGCGCAAGATCATCTTTGGCTATACAGCAAGAGCTGGACCAGACCAGGCTACAGGAGACTGTCTCAAAATCCAAATAACTAGAAAGATAGGAAGATAGGGAGGAAGATAGATGATTGATAGATAGATAGATAGATAGATAGATGAATAGATAAATTATAGATAGATAGACAGATAGATGAAAGATAGATGATGGATATCTAGATATGTAGATGGATAAGTAGATAGAAGATAGACAGATAGATAGATAGATAGATGATAGATAGGTAGATAGATGATAGATAGATAGATAGATAGATAGATAGATAGACAGATAGTTGATAGATAATAGGTAGGTAGGTAGGTAGGTAGGTAGATAGATAGATAGATAGATAGATGAATAGATAAATTATAGATAGATAGACAGATAGATGAAAGATAGATGATGGATATCTAGATATGTAGATGGATAAGTAGATAGAAGATAGATAAATAGATAGATAGATAGATAGATAGATAGATAGATAGATAGATGATAGATAATAGGTAGGTAGATAGATGATAGATAGATAGATAGATAGATAGATAGATAGATAGATAATAGGTAGGTAGATAGATGATAGATAGATAGATAG